TTAAAAAAATTTATTTTTTATTAGTTTCGAGTATACAGTACATTGGTTAGACATTTATATCGTTTATAAAATGATCCCCCTAATTGCTCTCTCCTCTGACCCTCCACCTAGCTATTAAATTACTGCTGACTGCGTTCCCTCTGCCGTGCTCCCCGTCCCTGTGACCATCTATCAACTACTCATTTATACTTCTTTAACCCTTCACCCCTTTCTCCCAACCTCCCAACCCCCCTCCCCTCCGGCCGCCACCAGATTGTCCTCTATAGTTGTGAGTCTGTTTTTTCGAATCCATTAATTTTTAAAAACCTGTTCGCACGTAGTACATTTAAAAATGTTTACCTTCGGGACAGGGTGAAACAATTTTTTTGATCCCTTTTATTCTTTGTACAGTGTTGTCGTGCATTTATGAGACAGGTATTTCTTTTGTCCTGCAATGCAGCTTCTCATACATTAATGATTACAATAGCAGCCTCTTTTTTTCTGCCTATTTATCAAATGCTTTTTCTAAACTAAAATGAACAGGTTTTTCCAGTTGATTGCTTTGGGCGTTCATTCAATTCTATCACAAATATATACTCCTCTTGACTACGCACATACAAAACAACCAAGGTAAAATTTTTATGGGCATTAAAATTAATGTTTAAAGTGAGCGAAACTTCTGTTTCTATTTGATAACTGTTCTCTTTTTTAATCCCAAAGACGGTGTTCATAATATAGGGGACATCGATTACGACTATCGACATGGGAAGTCACGTAGAGGCTTTCCACAGGAGGGTACACTGTCCTGCGGAGAAGCTTTAGGGGGAAGGTTTTCTGAACAATTTCCTGATCCCCCCAATTTTGAAGCCTTCTGTTTGTTAGTGTCTAAATCTAAATATCCGTAATAAAAACCAACCGTGTTATCTCCTGGCACCCCAGGGGCTTTGCCCCTGTTCATCTGAGCTAATCGGCCTCATGGCAAGTGGTTGGGGCGCAAGTGTGTGTCCGGGACGGTCGACGAGAGGAACCTCGAGGCTGAAGGATGGATGCACACTGGCTCGGAAGCCAGGCCTGCCTGACTCCTAAGTGGACACAAGCCGATCAACTCCTCCAAGCATAGTAAACTCGATACTGCTTAGGTCCCCTCCAGCTTTCTTCAGCTGTTCTAATCAAATCGATGAAGGCATCCGACCTCATTTAGGCGTTGAGAACAGCATCAGAGACGCAGAGAAGAAGTGAAATTGCTTTTATTCTCTTACAGAGACTCTCAAACGTGGCTGACTGTCAGATCGTGCGGAGGTTTAGCCATCGGCGGGGCATGATTCGTGGACACACAGGCCTTATTCTTAAAAGCATCCTTTTTTTTTTTTTCTAGTTGCAAATGAAGCTGGAGACAAGACTGCCAGACCACTTGCCCGCTTCTCCCGTGAGTACATCTTGTGTCACTCCTTTCCTGGGCTCCTTCAGAGGCCTTTTTGCTTGTGCGATTCACCTCTGTCATCCTGCCAGGTGTCCATGAAACACTGTCAATAAAAGAGTAATTTCAGACATGTGTTCAGTGGGTTAATATCCCATTCGAGCCCCTCCATGGGTTAGCTAGTCATTGCTCTCGCCTTTCGGACCTTAGAACCATGGTTTATCAAACTGTGCTCCAGGCTTTGCTATTTGAAGTATGGTCCTGGGAGCAGAATAGACTTCACCTGGGGGATTTCTTTTTAGGAATACAGGGCCCCAGGCCACCCCAGACCTACTAAACCAGAGCCTGCATTTTAACAAATCCTCAGGTGATTTCTGTGTATATCTGAGAGTCACCGCACTGGGCTGGGCTTTTCATGAAGACAGAAGAGAGTATGTGAAATGCTCATAGTCGTCAAGGCCCACGTGCTGTGAAAGCATCGTCACTGCCCAAAGTGCACATAAGGACCAGCTCTGCTGGCTTTACCCGACTTAGGGGACATCTGAGAAGCTCGGATGGATTGAGCGGTTTTCCTTTGGCCCAGGGGTATTCGTAAGGGCCTCGGGCCCCCCTCGATTTCACTCGACTCCTTCGTCTCCAGGTCTTGACCCTAATGGGAGAGCAGGAGTCAAGAGCCTCTCAGTATGTCTGTGCCAATGTGATCAGTGAACGACACAGCCAGTTAACGAAAAGCCAGGTCCTAGTGAAGGGGGCGGAAACACCAGAGACTGAGCAGGGCTGGGGGCAGATGCTCCCCACAGCGGCCGGGCGTCGCGTGGAGAAAGTGTGGGACCGTCAGTGAAAATAGAGGGGTTCCCCCCCGTCCCCGGCACCGACGCTCCTCAGAGTCTCACTGAACGTGATTTCTCTCACCCTTTCTGGGCCTCAGCTTTCCCATCCGAAAAAACAGAAGTTCAGACCCACCTTCTCTCCGTTATAAGTTGCTTTCTTTGGAAGTCGTGGCATGAGCATTTTCCGTCACCGCGTTGTTCAGAGGCTCGGTCACGTCCCTAGTGAGGATACGGCTGGGGCGAGTCTTCATGCGGAGGATCGCAAGTTAAATTTCTCTATTTACAGGGCTTTTTTCTAAACTCAGCCTTCTAGCTCCTTTTGGGAGGCTGTGACACTTTGGGACTGATTCCTAGAAATGATTTTTATAGAGCTGTAATAATGTATGATAATGAAAGAGCCTTAAGTGCTCACATTTTAGAAACTGTGTAATAAAACACTCCCTCCTACCTGGATTCATTATTTCCAAAATAAGTATTTTATCGCACAGCTCTTTAGTTCTTCATCTCCTGAGCAGTAGTCAGGCAGATCAATAAGCGGGAGTGATAACC